TAACCCTAGAGGACATTTCTAAATTTTGATCTATTTCCTTTTCTGAGATACTTACTAGTGTCATAAAAATTATAGTAAGGTTGATTCAAAATTTGGTAAAATTCATAGCAAAAGTTTAGGAAAACACACATGAAAAGCGTTCACCTCCTACAAACCAGTGTGCAGTTTAATATGAAGCTCAGTTTCCAAATAACCATCAACAAACCTTGAACAATTTGTCCAAAACCAACAACTTAATAAACACTAGCTTTGGCTCAGTCTTCAAATATTAGTAACCTCCTCAAAAAACTGATGATTTATGAGAAAAATTACATCAAATCTGGGTTAAATATATGTTTCAATATTTATTCCATTACATTAAAAATCAACTAAGATTTTTGTAAGTTATTCTGTTCCAGGACTGGATAATGCCTGACCAGGATGTGACCAAAAAGTAGGGTTGCTTTTTCAAATTCTCTGGATGTTGAAATAACTTTGACGAGTTATGATACTAGCAATCACTTTCAGAATTATCTTATTAGTAAATGTATTATTCAAAAAACATATAAAAAGCAGGAGCCAACAAACTAAGTTTCGCTGGCAGATTGTTTACATTGTGTCACGGCTTTCTCGACCGTCTCATTTGAGCTTTATGGTGTACCAACTCAATGCCCAGTAGGGACTAAACACGTTAAGCAAAAACAATTTTGTAGTTACAAGAATTGTCCGTGTTTATAACCCTTGCAAAGTCTTAAACTGCTATTTGTTGTCATCAATTGGTAATGATATTGCACATGTGCAAAAGTGTGGAAATTCGGGCAAATTCTCATCTGCAGGCAGACGAAGGTTTCGTGAACGATTGTGCAGACATTTAACTGATCGTCGCGCTCCTTGATCCGCCTCAATTCCTTTTGTCTTCACCATAATGGTTTTGGTAAAGGTACACATCAAATCGCAGCAATATGTAATAGATATAGCGAGTGTAAATGGCATAATTCGAAGCACATCGCTTCGGAGGCATCGTTTGACCCCAGAAATAAGTCTGACAAATCCACACAGCGCGCCCGGTCTGCTGATTGGCCAAAATTGACGCATGCGCCAGTTTTGATTGACAGACTTGATCGGTCTATTGTTTCACGGATAGGTATGTAGTCACTCCAAATTCACCATATGTGCGTGACTGTCCTCTCCCACGTCCGCGCCCACCTCTCAACCAAGCAATCTCGATCCACTTTCTGCTCACTATCAAGACATCTATAACTTCACCTCTCTCTCCATCCACCTGTCTTCTCAGAGGTCCGCGCGCCTCTCTATTCCTTCATTATTTCACACCAACTATACCTCCCAACAACTACTGTCTCCTCCGAGGTCCGCGCGCCCCCAGCCACCACCGACCCCGCCACCTCTCAAGCACCCACCTTAACAAAACTCCATGGTCAAGGCCGCCCATAGCCCCTCAGTCAAGGCCACTCAACCAATCTTGTACTACACTCGCTCAGCCTGCCTTGCCCCCCTCCTCCCTTCTCAATGCTCCCATACCACCCCTCACCCCACCCACCCACCCTAGAAGGACTTACATGGTCCCTTCATACGTTGGCGATTGTGCACAAATTTAGCCATCACCTACAAACACAAGTATCCTTCTATTATAAACCGGGTATATCTAAATTTACTTCAAATGTTTTGAGATTTACCTACCCTCTCAAGAAGACCAAACTGTGAAACCCGTGAAGGTGCAGGTTAGAATTGGCCTTCAGTAACCCATGCTTATCGTAAGAGGCGACTAACGGGATCGGGTGGTCAGGCTTGCTGACTTGGTTGACACATGTCATCGGTTCCCAATGGCGCCGAACCCGTGAAGACCCGGGTTAGAATTGATCTTCAGTAACCCATGCTTTTCGTAAGAGGCGACTAACGGGATCGGGTGGTCATTTACCTTGTTTATACTATATTTTATATGTTCCACTTTTATCGTCATTAATAAAACAAATGTTCTCCAGTTATTAGTAAAAAACTAATTCAACCACAACTGTTATAAAAACGTCCTGTACTTTGTTTATACTATTTCACTTTCAAGATAATTATTCCTTTAGTGTGACGCTGTAAGCAGTTGGATCTTATCAAAACAGGAGAAATGAACAGATTATTATTTGTTTTGTTCTTAACGGATTGTGGGATTAAAAGTCACAAGTCACATGATTGTTTGTTTAACTTGCTTTGAGCTTGACGATATCACACCGATTAATGAACTCATGGGATTATCAGTTAATGCTTTTACTCATATGGCTTCCTTCTAGCAGCTAATATAAGACACGCTGGCCGTAAGACTGTGACTCAAACTCTTCACGGCATTGGCTGGAACATTCGGTTCAATAAAATATGCTGGGACAACTGACTGATGTAGTGCTGTTGCAGATGAAAGTGTTATGATGATATTTTCTGATGTCATGTATTTTACTTGAATGATTACATTAATTTTATAAGTTAGGTTCAAATGTGGTAGTGCTGTTGATGATAATATTGTTATGACTTAAATACATTATCAATACTGACCTGTTTGGAGTTTATAACTTGTTTTCCTACCCAAATATATCACTTTTTTCCATGACTTTTTTTCCTATATTTTTTTTCCTACAACCGAACAAATTACCGTGCCGGGTGCACAGTCTTACACTGCTTGGATGGTGTTGTACAAAACATCAGGCAGAATAAATCATTTATACCCCACCCCATGGAAAAAACAAGCATCCACTGCAGTCAGTGAACCGTGAAGCAGTGGTTCAAATCGACTAGTCAGTACCATGTTAGTGAAATATATGACTGGATTTCAGCATGTTTGGATGCTTTATTTACATGAAGAGAGATTTAAGATATTTTTGCCAAAGTTATGTATTTATATGGTTTTATGAAAAATCTTTCTATGATGTATATTTTGACCCTCTAGATAACAGTGTCTCATAAGCCTGTTAAGGCTTATGAGTATGTAAAACATTATGTGTTTCTTTTATATGTATTTTATATATATGTATTTTAAGATACATTCTGTGTACTATTGTGATGTGGGGTATATGGGGATTTTTGCGTCCGGTTTTATCCACCTAGCCGAAGGCGTCAGTGACAGTTTGCTACTACTTATGATAGGAATCAATTTGACGTTTTGTGTATCCAGTTCTTGTGCATTCTGTTATAGTATATATGTACTGGTGAGGTATTAATAAAAGCAATGTTTTGCTTGTTTACCAAACCAGATTCTCTGAGAATATAAATATGTTTAAACCATATGTTCAAAATTGGAATACAATATGAACATGCACACAATAGCAAAATTGAAAGGCACATCTTGCCAAACAAGGTTTTCAAGAGCATATACGCATACATGTGCACGTCTTGAGAAATGTGAAAGTTCCTATTCCTATCTCAGTAAACAGGGTTGTTCAATCACACATATATACACACCAATTTAGCATGACAAATAAGTTAATGCACGAAAGAGAACTTAACACCATATCGACACCTTATAAAACAATCAATTCGAGATTTCCTTAGAATGTGCAATATGTTGCTGTTTAAAAAACACACCCTCACCAGCACGTGTACATCTCACACCTAACCCAGGGTGATCAATGGATTGTATATATGGAAAGCAAAATACACTTGAAAGTCATTGCTGTTTAACTACAATACACAGGACCAACGGATGGGACACAGCGACTTTTTCGGTGCAAATTGTCGCAGGCGCTTTGCGGAAATTACGTAACTGAACGCAGAGATACACTAAACGTCATCGTTCCGCTCCGTGACCTCGTCTTTGCGAGCTACACTGAAATACTCAACTGAGGTGAAACTCAGAATGATGAAATTGGAAATGTTGAAGAAACCAGGTAAATCAACATGTGGATGACAACACAATAACTTGAAAATCTCTTATGAATTCGTATGACAATGCAATATCTGTTGAGACTATGATAATTTGAACAACGGAGAAAGTTATATGGATATACAACTTCTTTATTATAATGTAAGGGGGGGTTCCCGGGGGGTTCCCAGCAGGCAGAAGTGGGTAACCTGGGATAAGAGGACACACATGCAGGGCAGGTTGTTCCGTGTGTAATATGGTTCAGGGTATTTTGGTTGCCCATAAAATTGACGCTGTGACTTCATTCATTCATTTATTTCATACATATTATCATCATCATCATCATCAATCTCATCATCTCAAAGAACTTATCTCCCCTTATTCACCTCAGCGGAATCTCAGATCCTCCAGTGACTCTCACTTGACCCAACCAAAATCACTAAAATTAAATTTTATTTTTGACAATCAGTTGCAATGTTTCGGTGTATATTCATCGAAGTCATGTTGTCAGCTTTTAAGCTTGTTTAACCAAGGACGACACTCCTGGTGTTTTGTTTCGTGTACGGTAACAATATTTAATGAATGTGGTAGTTTACAATGTAGCGTGTAACAATGGCGAGCGAAACTTAACGCACAGATCGGTGTTGAAAACATTGTTTACATTTCGCCCATGTCATAACAACTTAAGGAAGTAATTGACGTATACTTTGCTATAGGTCTTGGATATTTCTATTGTTGTTATATGGTGTGTCGCCCATTAGTGGACGCGGCCAATGTGCAGTCCTTACACAGGGAACGAATGCTTTAACCACTAGGCTACCTCACCGCACCTTCTCGAAACAGAGTGAGTGAGTTGGGGTTTACGCTGCATTTAGTAAATATTCAGCAGTATCGCGGCAGAAAACAGCAGAAATGGGCTTCACACAATGTACCGTTATGGGGAATCGAACCCGGATCATCGATGTGACGAGCCATCGCCTTAACCACTGGACTAACCAACCGCAACTTCTCGAATTAAATCGAGCTGACATGAACATTGGTAACGTGTCTTTTTGAAAAGTGGGGTTTTTTTCAAACCACGACTCACCAAACAACGTGAGATGACATTTCACAGCACCTGCCTGCGAGGGTCGTAGACTAAATAGAGAGGACACAAAACATTAAATGTTTGCTGTGATGATTTATTTAAATCATTGTATCAACAAGTTGATCGCTAGCTTCATTCTGCGTCCTCTTCCACTGCAGTACTGTACTCTTCCTGCAATCCCGGATCTGAAAGGAGACAATGTACACCAATTAACGCAACCAGTTTCTCTGTTCAGAAAATAGATCGAATCAGTAAATTGCGTATTGGGTGGTCGTTTGGCACAGGGTCCGCTGAGCCTGGTTCTCTCTTTATTATTTTCTTTATTGTCCTTTATCCACATCCCCGTTCAACCAACAACCCCTCCCCTCCGGGCCCATCTTCCTTTAATTCTCAACTACCTCTTTCACTCTGTAAGCAGCATTTAGAAGCTGGTATGATGAAGAGGAACGCTGTTTATGCATAGACACCTTCTTTGTTGCAGTAGGTGCGACGTTACGGTGTAGACCCTAACACCGTTATCTTTTACTCTAATCAAATTCCAATTTTCCATTACCTGAATCCATGGTCAGGAAGTCATCGATGCTTCTCGAGAACTCTTCCAGACTTATGTTCGAGTCTCCTGAAAATATGATTTGTCAATATGCATTCAAGACGTGATACGGATTTACCTTCTCAATTCCCCTCTCACTACCCCCAACCCACCCACCCCCACCCCACCCCAAAAAAAAGAAAGAAAGAGAACAAGAACAATATAAATAATAAATAAATAAATATATATAAACTAAACTAAAAATTAAAAAATGATAATTACTTTAAAGATATAGACATTTATTTAAGTCTTAAAAAAGGCTTGATAAGAGAAAGAATGAAAATATAGCATTTTTACCATTTTCATCAGCAAGTGAAAGTAGAAACTCGGCTTCCCGTCTTTCCATCAATTTCTCAGCTTCTGATTGGTCAATGTTGCCATCCTTGTTCTGATCAAGATCATCGATACTGCGCTTACCTATGGCTCCTGTAATCAAAGAAAGGCATTTGTCAACGGAATGCAGATACACCGCATAACCCAGGTTGGAATCATCTGACAAATACGTACACTTTGTACTCTTCGATGTAACTAAATTATTATTCCTTGGTCACACGATGGTAACACGGTAGTTGCGTCCCATTTTCGCCCCAGGATCCGCTTTTCAATGAAAGGTCAAGGGAATATGACAGGCTTACAGGTACGTGCCGGGAGCATTACTACACGTGATCACATGACATTGTTTTATCTAGATATCACTACACTAGTGCTATTCACAAAACCCCAACATATCTCCATCACATTTTACAAGAATATTTGATTACATTTGGAGTAATTAGCGCCTGCACTTTATTGTTGAAATATACTTCCATTATATTCGGGTGTACAGGGGGGACGACAGGGGTAACCTAGTTCATGGTTAAAGCGTTCGCTCGTCCTGTCGGAGACTCTGGTTCGATTCACTATATGGGTACAACGTGTGAAGCCCAGTTCTGGTGTCCCCGCCATAATATTGCTGAATTATTGCTAAACACGGCGAAAACCTAACTCACTCACATTGGGTATTCTGAGTGTCAGGATGGGGGAAATCTGAGTGGGTGTTGGCATGCGAAGAGTTTGCGGTTTGGGCATGAAACTGACTCAATGTAAACACGTTGATACTGGATATCTATTTGTACAGCCTTGCTAAACTTTCCTAAGTAGGTTGTAAATTTATCATTGACTTTCAGCAGTGCTACGGGGGCAAAGGAACTTTCTATGTTTGTGGATATGTAAAAACACCTGCCCTTAAAAACATATAAAAAGATAGAGTAAAAGAAGAAAACAAATTTGGAGTTTCCTCTAAAAGGTACCTTAATATTTTGTTTTGTGGATAATGTTTTTAAAATGGTTTTGTCGTTAAACCTCTTGTAACTATTTTATCTGGTATTTATTTTAAACGGGCGTTGGACCAAACGCATCGATTGTATGCATAACGTAGTTTTGGAATGAACAAGAAACTTTCATTGCGTTCATCATACTGTATGTAGCCTTATTGTTCTTCGTGATTGTTACACTTTCCATTTCAACAAAATGTAGCTGGAAGTCTGACGATATAAGAGCATATATTTCTGCACTCACCGACTATTCTGTGGATTGTGCTTTGATTCCTCCTGTAAAATCTGTAAGCGCGTCTCACGACACGACCAATTCTACGAAAAAATCCTCCCCTCCTCCTTCTCCTTCTTCTCCTCCCCCAGGCGTCGGAATCCGGCAACAGCACCAGGGCCACAAGCAGGAGGACAAGGAACAGACGCATCCTGATCAGCTACGAACATACAAAGATCATTCTGCATATTACAATTACAGTCACCAGTGGAACAAACTACTGACATTTTATTGTATTTGTCTCGGCCTTTCGAAAACAAAAAGATCATATCATTCATAGAAGAAAACCTTTTAGAAATTGTGGCTAGAATGTTCAAAGGATGTCTCATGAGAGAGAGAGAGAGAAAGATGCTCTTGAAAACATGGGTTTTCAAGCAGAATTTGAAACCTGTAAATCGCTTTTCACGGCGTGCATGTCTGGAAATCAAATATGGGGTGTTTCCTCGGAGAGCTGAATTTCAAATATTGCATAAACATGGTCATGAGTATCTGAGCCGTTTCTCCTCAGTTCATCAACGATCACTCCTATAGCTGATAACTTTGCTAAATGTTTTATGAATAACGCAAGTTCTTCGAATGCACGTCTTATAATTCCAACCTCAGCCAGTTCTCCCCATCTTTCGATTGCAGATTCCAGCCAAGGCAAGTTCCTCCCTCTTTCAATCCCAACCAAGGCTGGTTCTTCCCCTCTTTTGATTCCAACCAAGGCTGGTTCTTCCCCCTTTTGAGTCCAACCAAGGCTGGTTCTTCCCCCTTTGAGTCCAACCAAGGCTGGTTCTTCCCCCTTTTGATTACAACCAAGGCTGGTTCTTCCCCCTTTGAGTCCAACCAAGGCTGGTTCTTTTCCTCTTTTGATTACAACCAAGGCTGGTTCTTCCCCCTTTTGATTACAACCAAGGCTGGTTCTTCCCCTTTTGAGTCCAACCAAGGCTGGTTCTTCCCTCTTTTGATTCCAACCAAGGCTGGTTCTTCCCCCTTTTGAGTTACAACCAAGGCTGGTTCTTCCCCTTTGAGTCCAACCAAGGCTGGTTCTTCCCCTCTTTTGAGTCCAACCAAGGCTGGTTCTTTTCCTCTTTTGAGTCCAACCAAGGCCAGTTCTTCCTCTTTTGAGTCCAACCAAGGCTGGTTCTCCCCCTCTTTTGATTCCAACCAATTTGCAAGGCCGGTTTTATACCTCTTTCAATCCCGTCTAAGGTTGGTTCTTCTCCTCTTTTGATTCCAACCAGGGCCAGTCCTTCCCCTAATTTGACTCCAACCAAGGCCGGTTCCTCCCCAAACAACGAGAGAATGAAATATATGACCACCATTTCTTCTACTATCTATCATTGGTGGCAATAATGGCGTCATAACTGAATAACTTACATGCAACATATGTGAACATTTATGCATTATTCGGGGTATAAGATGCATGTACATTCATGAAAATCCAAGACAACTCAAATTCAGATGTACATATATTGCATAACAGGGGAGGATACAGCTTATTGAGAGGGGGGGGTGCTCACTCTTGAGAAAGTGGGGGTGCACACTTCATTTTCACGAGAGAATTTCAATAGTCATTTCATGAACTTAACGCCGCATACAGCAATATCTATATTCTACTCAGCAATAGATGTATGGTGGAGGTAAGTAAATAATTGAGTCTGGACCAGACAATCCAGTTATCAACATCATGAGCATCTATTTAATTGATTTTGTATCGGAACAGCTATTATCATTCAAGAAAATTATGCAGTTAATTATCAAGAAGTTTGTTATTTTCGTCCCATTTTTTCAAACAATCGGATTCCGGTTAACACTACGATTTAATTTAAAGTTTTCATATATATATATATATATATATATATCTAACAAATCCTGCATCAGAACATTTAACGAAAACAGTATCACAAAAACGCTACTTACCCAAAGCAGACAGATGAACAAGTATCTGCAGATTGGGGATACACAGGTTATATTTATACAGCTTTACATGAAAAACGTGTGAAGAGAACAGTACAAACACCTCAAAACAACGATGATATCTTAGGGACAGTAGAACGTCCTCTGATTGGTGGATTTGTTGGGTATCTCTGACATCACAGAACAGCTGGGAGAAGGATGTCAGGACTAATTTTGATGTATCGCCCTTGCAGGCGTGATAACGGTTTGTGGTGTTAAAGCGTATTAAGTTTGACCACACTTTCAACACTAGATTACGAGATATGAACTTTCCCATCCTGTATGGGTGACAACTTTGATGATAGTTACGCTCTGTTTTACGCAGTCGATAGCAACAGCTGTACTCGAGTGCATACTTTGTTAATGTGACAATAATAATAATTATGATAATAATCCAACCGCCTGGATGAATTCTGCTGGTCTTAAATGTGAAACTGAGAACTTTCTGTTTGCTTCTGACTTCCCACACGCAATCCCCAAATTGTGATTCTTAAACAAAATATCAATGTGAAATGTCGACTTTGCTATGAATGTACAGAGACTGTCCACACCTTGTTAGTGGATGCCCTTCCTTGGCACACACAGCATATCATAGCTCCCGTTTGACAAGTTCTTGGTGGGTTCGACTAGGCAGCGTTTCCTGGGAGAAATCCCATTCGCTGTCCGGGCTGCGTGTAGAGGGGACAAGCGCCCTGAGCTGATGATGAGCCTTACCAGCCTGACTGTGCCAGCATCACCCTGTTAATGCATTTTAATGTGGACTAGTCTATGTTAGTATGGATGAATGCATGTGAGTGTGTGTTAGTGCATTTTAATGTGGGCTAGTCTATGTTAGTATGGATGAATGCATGTTAGTGTGTGCTAGTGCATTTTAATGTGGGCTAGTCTATGTTAGTATCGATGAATGCATGTTAGTGTGTTAGTGCATTTTAATGTGGGTTAGTCTATGTTATAGTATTAGTTAGGAGAAGATATATGCATGAACAACTTCTTAATTTAACACGTCACAATTTAATTCTGGACTCACAAAAGTCTAGAAACTCTCCGCACTGTGGGCACTTTCTGACAAGAGATTTGACCAAATTAAACATGCAAATGTTATGAATATATGCCAAGGATTAAAAAACGGCAAAAAAATTGTTCGAAAACTTTAAATTTAAACTCGCTCGCCCATGGGCGAGAATGTTTAATTTCGCTCAGAATTCATGTTTAAGATGTTGTAAATGAATGAGTGTATACTTATGAGTATCGTGAAACAAAATTCAACACATATTCAGCTAATTTAGAGCGATATTAAAAAATCTCGTCCATGGGCGAAAAATATGTTGGCCCATGGGCGAGAATATTTACTTTTACTCAAAATACATGTTTTTCCATGTTTTGGAGGTTGTAAATGAATGAGTGTATACTTATGAGTATCATGAAACAAAATTCAACACATATTGACTTAATTCAGCTAATTTAGAGCGATATTAAAAAATCTCGTCCATGGGCGAAAAATATGTTGGCCCATGGGCGAGAATATTTACTTTTACTCAAAATACATGTTTTTCCATGCTTAGGAGGTTGTAAATGAATGGGTGTGTGTTTATAAGCATCATGACACGAATTTTAACTCATTTTTGACTTAATTCAGCTAATTTAGAGTGATGTTAAAAAATCTGCATTATTTACGGTAGCATGGATTAGCTAATAGTGCATTGCCGGGAGACCCACATTCACACGATCACTCAACCATACCCATGCCAGTTGAGCCAAACCATTTTCTACTCTTGTTTTCTTAAAAGTGGCTTTCCCTGGCTATAACTGTCAGCACATCCCAAGCCGACCATCTGTCATTAATTACCTGTCATGAGCTATTAGTTGTATTGAAAGCTCTCGCCTGTTGTTTCATTACTTTAATAGACCGATCCAGTCCCGGCCGATAAGCCCCGCCCACTTCGTTTTTGACGTCAGGGGGGGGACAACCACTGACTAATCACAATGGCGTCACCGCCGGCGAAACGTACGTGATTGAGAACGTTGTTGATGAATTATGCTTGTGGTACTTTGGTATCCGTCGTTTTGAATGATATTTAAAGAGGCAAGTTATAGGTATGTGATTTTTAATATCTTTTAGTTGGCAGATTGCAATTGGCGAGTGAAAATGAGTTACATGCCCGATGAAAAATCGTCTCGGACAGCTGCTGAGAATAGGAAGCGTATTTTCTTTCGAATCAATTAATCGATCTAGCAATTCACCTCCGTCAAAGATATCAGCAGGGGAAGGGTAACTGAATTTTGTTTCTTGGATTTTCCCCAAAAATAATGTCCATCCTAATTTTATAAAAAACCATGAACACATCGACATGTTCATGTTGCAGATCGTTTCGGTATCTAGATCTATAAATAGATTGTCAACGTTGCGCGTGGCGCCTTTACTTATCCGTTGGCGTTGTTCAAACGTAGTTAAATAATCTGAAAACATTGGTGTCTATGTTTTAATGAATGAAATAAATGGTAAATAAAAAGCAGAAAATATTTCTCGTTTACTACCTTGTGCACCTTATTTGTCTGTATATAATTAATGTAAACAAATCAGTCACAGTGCGCAACTTAGTGAACTTATTTGGAAATCTGGAAAATGTGATTGGGCTTGAAAACAGTATGTTCAGCAGCTGATCTGCAGCAATTCTCAGTAAAGTTTCCCTCTTCAAAATCTGTACGCCATCCTAAAATGACACTGAATATAAGGAAATCCATTTTTTAAAACCATCCTTTCCATTTTATTTTTCTATACAATGTATGTAGTTTGTTGTGGAATCCTAACTTACATACAAACTTCCTCAATACTGGACTTCATGAACTACCAGCGTTTATGTACAGGTATGTTACAGCACCAGAACACAAAGAAGATCCAAGATTGCACCTACTAGCAGACCCATCTTCCAGAAATAGGAAACCTGTGATGCAAAATCTTTGAACAGAGGATCCACTAGCTGTTATCCGAACAATTAACTAGCATTGAAATAGAATGTTACACAAAATACAAAAATATTGGGTTTTTTCTTCA